GTGAGAGTCATTAAAATTTATAAACACGTACAAATACCTCCCAAATACACGAGATCGTCCGTTTTGCATCTTGTCGCTCAGTAAGGTTAATTCTTGATCCTTGAACCATCGTCCATAATTTCTGACCAGTTATTTCTTTTTATACAACGATCCTGTATTACTTGTACAATTTTGAACAAGAACACGCGGCACAATATCGATATACATATATATTTATATATAATATATATCACAATGAAACCGCCGCGAGTTGTTTCCAAGACCATAATGCCTCTTCCACAATAGGGAGCGGTTTATCGGATGTACAAACTAAATTGCCGGGTAACCACAATATATGGTACGAAAAGGCATCTTGTAAATCTATACGTGACAATACGAACGAGCCCGTCAACAATTAATGGGAGAAATATTTTGTAATCTCTATTTGTGCATAGAAATTTATATGCAATATATTTAAAAATTATGTATTAATAAATTATATATTCATCTATATAGCTAGATATATTTAAATATATATGTTATATATAAATAATTATTAAATATATATAAAAACAATATGTATATATAATTTTTATTTGAAATTATAATTATTGCATTATTATATAATACCAATATGTTAATATCTTATTCGATAAACAATTAATTCTTGCGAAAGTCCGCTACATCATTATAGATAGTGAATGGAGTATTAGTGAAATTTCCATTGGCTCGTTAAATATTGTACAGATGAGTGGCAGCAAGCATGATTATAACTTCATCATGCTTGTTACATTTTGAATTATGCTAAATGACTCGTTGCATCGAGATTATATTTCCACCATTATTATCATATTATTTCAAAAGTAATTTATGCGATGCTTTTAACTAAGAATTTACAAATGGCGATAACAATTTAAATGCAATGTTTGCTTGAGAGAAATAATAATACGAATTAAATCTTTCATCTCAAAGCGAGGTCAGGCTTTTACCGCGCAAGAATGGTCTTAAAACAATTAATGATAATAACAGCGAGGGAGAGGGAGACTTGTTGCTTGAAGCTTTCTGATGAACTTTGCCTACGTGCGATGAATTATCTCAAAAAATTAACTTTTGCGACATCACGTTTATATAAATCTCGTTGTTGACCCCATCCGCGGAAAACTATTTTCTCCCTCGAAAATGGAATTATCCGATTTCTCTCGTACCCCATTTCCGGCATAACCATTGACCTATATATATATACATATATATATATATATATACACTTAAGGATATGGATAAAAAGACACGGAAGCAGAAAGTCAAATAAAAACAATTGTTGTAACCATCAGCAAAATGAAACTTTTGTTCGGGATGAAGCTGTAATAAAATAAAAAACGCGCAATTTTTTTTTGTACATTGTATGAGATTAATTAGTAATATTACAATTATTATTTTAATAAGACGCTTACAGCAGAGCGATAATATAGATGATAAAATATATATACAAATGCTTTTGAATATAATCCGCAAATATCAAAGAGAGTGAATTTATGTATCTCTTTTTCTTTTTTACAATCTCGAAAAATTATGAAAGAAAAATTTATACTTTTCCTATATAGAAATCTCGAGAGAGAAACTGTATTAATTAAAAAGCATCTTAATTGTGTTGCAACGAAATTGAAAATTAAAATTTATGGAGCGCATTAGGCAGCATATATTGAGGTACCACATAAGTGAAAACTTTCAGAACTTCCGCAACAATATCTTCAAGTAATTATACAAAACGATTTTTTTGCTTATCTTCCCTATTCTCTCATCTTTCTCCTCTCCTTCTCTGTTGCTCCTTATTTTTTTCTCTTTCCCTCTGTCGAGCAGTTTCACGCGGGTATATATTTTCAAAGGAAAACTTTCTTCCATAAACACGTGCGCACATAAGAAAATCTTTGACGGTAAACTGTTAAATCCCGCAAGGTTGTCCTATTTTTCGAGGTATATGTAACACGTTGTGAGAATTAATCTCGGTCCCTTTTAACAAGATTACGGTCTTTCACGCCATCCAGAAGCGGCCGGACGAAGGTTTTTCTCTAACGAGATGTTTCACCTGGATAAAAGTATTTTAGCATATTATATTTATTTTCCATTGGGGCTCGTGGCACGTGGACGCGTGCGATATAAGCATGCACTTGTATAAATCATCTTAAAATATTACTCACGATATCGCGTATTGTGAAAAGATAAATAAATCATTACGTTTTAAAGCGTATACATAGACTTCTAGTTCTATGTAAAAAGGGTTTTGTGTAAAAAAGAAGAGCGCGCTGGGGGTTTTCGTGAAAGATTTATGAGATAAGGCAAATTCGAAACAAAATATTAGACGCTCGAAAAATTTTTAAATTTTCCACGGACCAATGAACATTCTTTCTGCAAAGTATAATAAATTATATCTCTCTCGCCGCGTTAGCTTTAACATTTTATCTACTTTATTTCTGCGGCCTCATCGAAATTATTTTTGAAAACGAAAAATCTCCATGAAGCTTCACAAAATTCTTCAAATTTCGATTGTCTAACGGAGTAATGTATCAATTTAATTCGCAAATTTGTATTAATTTTAAAATATTCATATTTCTTTGATATCTTAACTATCTTATAATATACACGTATCTCGGAATAATTTTGCAAATCTATTCAACAGGCGCGATATTCGACATATGACTTGTTGCATCGAAATATTCGATTTCCGGCAGACTTTCCTTCTCCCAATCCTCCGGACTTGCTCTTTTAATTGAATTAATTACGGAACGGCTTAAGTTGGCTTAAAGTAAAATCTGAAACAGTCTAGATACGTCCGGAGAGATCTACATTATTACGGAGTTGCTTTTCATTCACACCTTTACGGAGGTATAAAAATAAGAAAGGAAAACGAGAAATGATTGTGCCGCCGTTGACTGGTATCGAACGATACTTATCGTGTCAGTAATGACCGCCTTGTGACATGAAAAATATGAAGCTCACTCAAGAAGCGAACCGCCCTATACCGCATGAATGGTGAATCGTGCTACGACATGGATATAGTACGATAAACATTCCAGTTGGTACATGTAGTAGATAGTAGATCGATAATCATTTGGCTTTACTATGTTTACATGCCGTTAGTCGTCTGCAATCGGAAAGACGTAGACCGATGAGCACGGTCAGGAATAAAAATAACTGGCACGCAAAAAAACTACTGTATACCATCGGCATCACGTAAATAACCATTGTGTATTAATATAGCTATTAATTATGTGATTAACAACGATAATTTTATACCTACCCATCGCTGGTATTTCATGGTCCGAAACACAGACAGCAAATACGGACGCGTTATGTAAGAGAGCAATATATTAAAACGGGACAATATAGAGCAACCTTGTTTTCTGTTTGCCGACACTCCAAGAGGCGCGCCGTAGGAAAATATTTGAAAGCTGGAGGAATCTTCCACGAGTTGAATCCTAGCAATAGCGGCGTTATAACCGTTCGTTTCTTTTGTGATGCAACTCGTGAATGCCTATTTTGACCCAGCAAAAGAATCTGCCTGTATGCGGTGTATCTGGATATACCGTCGCAATATCGTCGCGAGGATATTCTTTTCTGTACGGTCTGGCTCGCTTAACCGGAAGGAAGCCGATAGGAAAGCTAGCAACACGTGAAACGTCGGAGCTGAATTTCAAATATAAAATATGAAAAGAGCCGAATGATAAATGCTGTATATATGTCACATCTAATATACGATCGTAAATAATGAGTCGTTTTTGCTAGTAAGAGATCTCGAGAACGAAATAATTCATATATTAAAATCGAAGATTAAATATCACTTGACATTTTGCATATATTAATTATACTAGCGTAATTTCATTTTACAGTATTTGTCGATGTACTGAATAAATATTAATATTCCCAAATGGAGACCAATTTAAAAGTTAAGAAGATATATTATCATAAATTATTTTTCTTTTCTTTAAATTGGATATATTAAAATGGATAAAATGGATAAATTGGATATTAAAATATTGTAATAAAATATAAGTAATATCATCTCTTTCAACGACAATACTCTTCATTAAATAACAGAATCTTGTCACGTGTCATAAAGTCAACAATTGTATAATTAAAACTCTTTCACTCTTAACGTTATGCATAATTCAAGCAAAATTAGGTTAACGACTTTCGAGATTGTCCGATTATTTTGAACTAACTTTAAGCGACACATTTTCTTATTATTACGGAACGATAGCAACTTAATTGCCAAATATAAAGAGTGGAATCTTATACTGTACTGTCGGAAGTAAATCGTTGTAGTAGAGTTACATCGAGAAAACCAGTATCGATATGCGTGTGAGATCGCAATAAAGGTGATAAAAGATGGACTCGTCGACAGTTTGTCGAGGATCTAGGATACAGATACGATCGATCGTAAGTTTTCAGGTCGTGATGGTTATTTTGATCATCCGAACTGATATGCGAGACTAATCCTACGGGGAGGACGACGGGTAAAATCGCGCCAGGTTAGATCAATAAGCTCGTCGAGGTGTGACAGCACCATTTTTAAATCTTTTATTTTCATAAATTATACGATTAATCTATATTCTATCACATCACGCGATGTAATATTTAAGTGACACAGTATATATTTGACGAGATTTTCGGATTTTATTTCATATAATAGAATACGCTTTCAAGTTTTAAACTAACAAGGACATAATGAGGCGCATTTAAATCGAATAATAATCTTAATAACGCGTAAATGTATAAATCCCATTATAATATTATATTCTAATAATATAATTTTTGAAATTATACAAAAAACTTGCAAGACTTTCTTTTGCCGTGTGGATGTAAGCAAATGCCTAAACGTATTTCTGACTTTATTCGACTTTATCTGAACTTTATGATATCTTTGAAATATATTGAGGAAACACCATGGAAGCTGTATCGGCGTGGTTTTGGTCCTCGGTTGCCCTTGTACCAAGCCACACGGGTTGGCTTTTCGTATTTTGCAGATAACAACGGCGGCATGAACGTACGAGACTGGTTACAAAGTGCCATTTGCAGAGTATCGCGCGATCTGAAATCTTCAAGGTCGCGCCTCGACTTCCAAGCTTTGTGTACGCGGTGTAGCCTGTAGAACGGAATCCTGAAGAGAGACACTCGATACATGTAGACGTAGTCGGTGATCGAGAAATCGTAGAACATAGTTAGACTCTGTGTGAGATGTGAAACAAAGCAACATGGAGATCATCATGGAACGCAACGCAACGACCAAAAATTCGACTACATCAATGGCCTCCACGAGGTTCGCCAAGCTGCAATTCATGTTCCTTCTTGGTCCACAAGAGGGGATGTGACTTGATTTAGAAGCGAACCTCGTACGATGAATCGCCTCAGGGATCATCAAATAGAAACGTAGGCGCATAACAAAAATTAAATTAAAAAGAAATAAAATAAAAAGTACTTGCGACGCGTAGTGCATCCGACAAAGCTAGAAAATGGATTCAACGAAATTAGGAGGTCCAGCACCGACCAGTCCGAGGTCCACTCACTCGCCAGTTTTGCCGAGCTACGCCACGTCCGGCGAAGGTAACATCGATTACATCATAGGTGATTACATGGAGCGACTGGGCACGAGATTAAATATCCTCGAGACCGAGCTGAAGTACGCGTGGAGAGCGTTGGATCTTCTCAGTCAGGAATACATCAAGATGTGGGAGAGACTGGAAAAGTTGGAAGGTCTGCTATACGAGCAGCAAACTGTGATCAGCCAATTGATTGAGTTTTACACCAGTGGTGGCACTCACGACAATGTAAACATAATCGAGGAAACTCTGGCTAATCAGCAGGGTTCGGTGGGTGAATTGGACGCGATCGCAAAGAGCCTAAGTGCGGCGATAGATATCGAAGATACCACCGTGTTGCGAGAGAAACTGGCTCAACAGGAGCTAGCGAGGATGCATGGACTCACGCAGGACAGTACAACAGCTGCGACTGTAGTCACCGATATGCATAGAAATGTCAGAAATCTCGATACCTTGGAGACCCTCGAAGAAGAGGGCAACATACCTGATGAGGCATTCTACAGAAGTCTGAATAACGCCTATAGAGAAGATTTGATTTGCGGCGACACATCGAGGCCGACGTCGCAGCTAGGTATGATTTGGGAGGAAGCTGAAGACGAAGATATAAATGGCAAGAAGGAAGTAGAGCCTAGCATTTTCGATAAGGCTATACCGAAGGAGAAAGAACTAGAAGAGTTGTCTAGTCAACCGACCAAGGAAGAAGTGCAAACTTCCATAATGAAGAAGCAAGACGAAGCAGACGAGGATGAAGGCGAGGTGTTTAGTGCGGCCGATTACAAGAGCTACAGGGGAAACACACCGTGCGTCAGTGAACAAGATCTCGCTCAGCTTTCTAGACTCAGTTCTCTCGATCAGGTGGCGCTAGAGAAATTGCACGAAATAGACAGATTAACTAGTAAGCTGCAGAAGGACTCGCAGAATCTGATAGAATTGCAATCGAGATTAATGGATTCGCCGAAACGAAATCAGTATTCGTCCGAAGCCGAGGCGAAACTGGCCGAGGAGGCAAGTAGTATAGACGAGCAATTGAGAAAAATCTATGCAGAGACCGACGTCGACAGTTGGACCTTCTCCAAAAGCCCCGGTTCTACCGGCGGCAGATCAATTTCCAGAGTCAGTACCGACAGCGGCCTGGCTACTGACGGCGACTTTACAACGAGATCTATATCGCCAAGACTGACTTCTACGTCCAGGAGCAATTTAGACTCCATTTCGACTACCTATACTCCGCCTAGATTAGGTTATACGTCGGCAATTCTGGAAAAAAGTCCAGAACCCGTGATTCCGTTGCCGATCGACGTCGGTAGTTACGCGAAAGGATACGCGGAGAACAAGGAATTGACGGATCTGATGGCCGAAAGTTTCGCAACGGCTGTCACTTGCGCTTCGCCCAATATTTATAGCACGACAACCGAGAAGGTGTCGTCGCCCACCTTGTCGGCCAGCAGCGTACAGAGTGTTCACAGTGTCCAAGGTCTTCGCACCAGACAGGATGGCTACTTCGGCAGCGCAGCCCGACTTAATCTCGAATTTCAAGAGAGCCGGACGCCACCTAGTCCGTCGCCAAGCTCGCCACCTCCGCCGGCACCGCGAGACACGACCGAATCTTTTCTCATGCCTGGTGCGGAGCAGAGAGAACCAGAAGCGAAAAGGTCTCAGAGTCCGAATTTCTTGCGAAACGCGGAGAAGCTAGTCTCCATGGAGCAAGGTCGTCTCAGTCCTCGTACTCCTCATTCGCCCAAGTCACCGAGAGTCTCACCGAAACATACGGTTAAATCCAGTAGCGCAGCCAATATAGTGACGGTGAAATCCGATTCCGGTTTATCCTCCATGAGTGGCTGGAGCAGCTTAGATAAATCACCAAGTTCCCCGAAGAGCTCCATCGCTAAGATGCTGACTTCCTATTCGGTGGATCACACACGTGCGAGCAATCTCGTTACCAGCACGCAGCCCGCCAGGACTTCCAGTCCGATACCGCCGCTTCCCGAGACGACCAACGCTGTCACCATCACGCAAGAACCTCTCTACGATACTCCTGAAGGTAGAGACGCTTTCGCGAATACCTTGACGACCACGGCCAGCCATCCTCCTTACACAACAACGATGAATCATTTGGCGTATACGACTGCCAGCAAGTCGCCGGCTAAAGAAGATTATACATTTGTACCACCGCCAGCTCCGGGTGTGACTACTACTTGTCAGAGTCCCAAGAAACGCAGTCGTCAGCAGAGTCTTCAGCACGCTTTTGCCTCGATGCCTTCCGGTACGGCAGCAGATTACGTCTATAGATCGGAACAACCGGCTATTTATTCCGTGGCTGGCAGTAATCGGCAGCAAGCTATCACGAGCGTTTATACTAGCGGTTCCGGCACGTACGGCCCGAAGACTACTACCTCGGCTTACTATTCTTCTGACTCGATGGATCATCAATTTAACAACTACCAAGACAATTACGGCGCTCTTCAATACATCGAGACGACGAGCGCCATGACCGTTCACGCGAAGAAGCCGTTGCGTGGAAACTCGTTCACGGACGGCATGACGAATCACGAAGGATACAAGGCGGCGATGTATCGCACCATGTTCCCCACCGGCAACATTACCGATGCGCTTTCATACTATCCGACTAGCGCGACTAATCTGCCGCGAACGGAGACCAATGAGAGCACGTCGTGGCTGAACTCGATGGAGGAACAGATACCTCACGACTCGACATCTTCCAGCATTAGATCGTTGACCTCCGACGGCAGCTACTCTCAGAGCCCGTACACGGACCGCAGATATCCTCAACCACCGGCCTATCAGCATGCGGCGTATCAGCAGCATCATACTTACGCGAATCAAAACTACCCGCAAGCTTATCAACAACAGTATCAACCGTACAGCCAACGACTGAGCGGTGCTGAGAGCGCACAGCTCGCGGATGGTTATCAAAGACAATGGCAGAGAGAACATCAGTATATTCAAGAGCACGAAAACGGAAGGATATCGATGGAACAGCAGCAGACGCAGCAGAGTGAATATTACGACGCCTCGAGTGTGATAGTCTCGCAATCCGGATACATCAGCATCGCGTCGAATCTAAAGGATCACGAGGTCGACAACAGCAAGCTGTCAAAAAAGATCAGAAGAGGCTCTTCGCTGAAGAATGCAATGAGCTCCATGAGCAATTGGCTACCTGATTTGCATCTCAGTAAACGTCACAGGAGTCAATCGTTACCAGGTGGAGTCAGAAGAGAAGATTTAGACATGCCTCAAGATGGTCAACAGAGGCTGCCCGCCGAGATGGTAGGCAGAGGCCGGGGCAGAGGAGCGGCTAGAAAAAAGAAAAAGCACACCCTAGTTTCCACCGTCTCCGGTATTCTTCAGAAAGCCAAACGTCGCAGTCATCAGTCGCAGTCTTTATCCGATCCGGAACAATCCGAAACCGAATGGAGCAGTGGTAGACAGAGCGGTCTGTCAGAGGACGAAGATAGCGTCATGTCTGACATCGTACAAGACCCGCCTTTCTTTGCTAAGGTAAAAACCACGAGTATGAAGAGAAAGCCGCCGCCACCGCAGCAAATGATGACGCCACAGCAACAGATAATGGTGCAACAACAACAACAGATGATTGCGCAGCAACAACAGCTTCAAACGCAACAAAAGGATTATATACAGCAGCAGCAACAACAAGCGCTTCAGCAACAGCAGATGTTTCAGCAGCAGCAGATGCTTCAGCAGCAACAGATACTCCAGCAGCAGCAAGCTCTTCAGCAGCAGCAAGCGCTTCAGCAACAGCAGTCGCTCCAGCAGCAGCAGCAAGCGCTTCAACAACAAATTCAACAGCATCAAGAACAATTGCATCAACAAGCTCTTCAGGATACGTGGACCAAGGAAAAGGAACAGAGAAAACCAGAGATGAATGATCATGACGTAAACGAGCAGTCGGGCATGTTCGAAGAGGAAGCTTCGGGAAAAAGTACCGGCTCGGGATCTGGTGGGTCATCGATCTTCCAAACGGTCGGCGATATTAAGAAATCGACGGGCAGTTCGGACGAGGCGCCTAACGAGAAAGCGCCGAAATTGCCTCCGGTCACTCTGATCGGTGGATCAAGCATGGAATTCGCCGTATCTCGAGCGCTCGGCAAGTATCGCCAACGTCAATCGTCGACGGTATCTGACGAGCAGCCAGCGAGCGAAGAGATGAATAATGAGAAGAAGACTATCGAGGAGAGCCCGGCACAAACTCTAGAGACGAGCTTTGAATATCCGGAGGACGTGTCGGAGAAGAGCGAGAAATCAGGTAACGCGAAATTGCCGGAACTTGTTACCAGTCTGTCGGAGGAAGCTCCGCCGTCGGAGGGTAGCCCGTCAGCGTCTAGCATGAGAGGTTACAGCTCTACGGGAAGTACACGGTTTCTACCGCGCCACCAACAGTCCTTGGAAATTCCGTGGACTGGTTCGCGGCCGGGAGAACCCGACGAGGATAATCGCAGTACGCATTCGTATAGGAGCACATCGAGAGTGTCCTCGAGGCGACAGAGCACCGAGGACTCGATCGATTCCGAAGACGAATGGTATTGTTACGAACTGAGAAAGCTGGAGGAGATGGAGAGGCAGTCGGAAATGACGGAGATGACGGAAGCGCTGATCGAGGAACCTGAAGAAGAAGCTTTCCAACCGGACGAGACCGTGAAAGAAAAGATGTCGTTTGTGCTGAAGGAGCTCAAACTCAAAGCCATTACAAAACCGAAGAAGAAGGAGGAGAGGGAAGAGCCACGAACGGCTAGAATGAACGGTACCGTCATCAAGGAGCATCGCCTCGACGAGAGCGACAATAGATATCGCGACGAGAAGCCTATTCCGAAGCGAAAATCGGCGGAAAGCGTGGAGGCGGTATTCGCCAGGGTGACCGATTATCATACATGGGCGCACGAGATAGAGGAGAAAACGAAGAAGGAGAAGCCGCCACCACCATCCACGGAGGAAGGCTCGTCCGGCGAGACATCCGGTCCGGACAGTCCTGGACAATCGATGGACGAGGAAGAGGAAGAGGAGCTGCCGAAGGACCTCGAAGAACAGCAGTCGCGACGAAGTTCCAACGGTTCGACGCTACGTCACAGCGAGAAGATGCCGCAGGGCTCGGATTCTTTATCCCGCGAAGGTAGCGTAAGTGTACCACCTAGCGAAGTGTCGGTCAGCATCCCGGGAGCTTGGGATTCTGAAAGCACTGTCCTTGAAGGCCTCGAGCGCGACGGAGCCGGTAGCGCCGAGACGGCTACCACGGCGACCTTGAGTCTACCGAAGATCAAGATCGACTCCTCGTCCTGCGGAAGCTCGGACACGACATTGAAGGAGGGCCAGGTGAGTCCTGGCCCACCCGGGTCCAAGTGGAAGCTGCTCAAGGCCTTGAAGGAACGTAAGGCCGAGGAGAAGCTCAAGGAGGTCGAAGAGGCCTCGAAGGAAAACGCTATCTCGCAGGGACCCACGGCAGTGAGTATCATGATCAAGTGAGGACACGAAAACCTCTGTAAAGCGTACTCGAGATTCGGAGGTTGGGGAAAATTGTGAATTTATATTTTTACTTCACTTTTCGCGCGCGTTATTTTTGCCATTGGCATCGATATTTCATCGAGCGCGATGCTCCGATATTGATATTCAATCACTGTCAAGTCCGAATTCGTATTTTATTTCACCGATGATATACTCGCGCGCGCGCGCGCGCGCCGACAAAGAGAGCTTTTCAACCCTATAATATCTTTAACGCCTCGACCGATTTGACGAATTCTTCTCGCTTCGTGCTTCGAATTTATTATGGAGCGCGTATATTTCGAGTGTCGAGTGCGCTGATACGTCGACCAACTGTGTACTAAAGCGGACGAGATACTGCAGAATTAAACAATATTTGGCGTTAAGATTTAAGATCGTGTGTCACCAAGTGACACGTATACAAGTCAATATGGTGCTCGACACCAAAAGGAAGTCAAGCTTTGCTATATATCGATGAGAGGGCGACGATGGTTTTGTTCGCTCGCCCTCTCTTATTCACCGAGGTTGTTAGAGAGGCGCGTAGCCTCTGAAATGGTTGTACGAGACATATACGTTACAAACGGTACTAGTCAATTTAAGTGTAACACCACTAACGCTTGGCCAAGCAATATTTCTAAGGGACGAAGGGACGTCGCTTCGATGGCGATCGATTTTATCGTTTGATTGACGATGAACGCGATTCTCGAGATCCAACGCGGCCACCGAGAAGCTCATTTAATAAGCATTTTAGACGTAATATATTATATAGATGGTGCTTTTTATTCGTAGATATACGCTTTAAGATAGTAACTATTATTGTTAGAATCTGCTGCTGTGTGTCTGCGCGATGTAGAAAAGTGTTGTGAAAATATGCCATCGTGTTGTTTATATAAAAATATATATATCTCGTGTCATCGAATATTATTTCACCTTAATTATTTTTTTCTCGCGTCTCTCTCTTATTGTCAAAAATTATACATTGTAAATTATAATTACACCATTGTTCATATTTTCAAGAAATACCTGAAAATCACAAGGGCATAACGACGAGTCACATTATAGGGATAAGAACTTACGTCGCGCAGACACGCGCGGGAACTCGCATTTCGTAAAACATCGAAATCCACATCGCTCCCCCAGACGCCTGTAAAGAAACAGCTTGAAAATACTCGCGGATCGCGCCGAGAATGAAGCAAATGGACGCGTGGATGTGTGTGTGGATGAGTGTGTTATATATGTGTGATAGCGATCCGGAGTAGAAATTGCGCCGAGTGAATGGCCCGACCGTTTCCGGTCTACGCCGGAATCTACAAAGAACTACATCGCGGAGCAAAACGCGCGTGATGAAAATGTACTTGGAAGAAGTAACGTCACGAGCATCGCGCGAAAAGCAGAAAATGGGTTTTTAGAGGCGCGGCTATTAGCGCGACGAGTCGTTTGACGAGTCGGAGGAGAAACACGGAGAAAATTTAACGGCACTTAACCGCCGGCGTAAATGTACATTTCGCGTGGTTCGTGCAAACAATAAACTTGCGATACGTATAGGGAAGACGATATTTCTTAAAGCGGTAATCATGTATCTTAAATTCTATATTCAAGATCCTCTTAAAGAAACGCATACTCAGGATGCTATATAAATGTATAATCGCGACATATAAGGCTATCTCAAGTCTTAAGACTCGGGATATAAATTATATAACATCTTAAGACGCTGCGCTTAAAGCGATCTCGAATATACGTATTTAAAAATATGAACCGCTCTTAGTTCCTGACATAATAGAGTATCGACGAGCACCGTCATCCACCATTGTTACGCTCGCACAAATTTACTCATACAAATACGACATATATATACATAGAAACATGTGTTTGCAATTTTGCAAGATTTCCTAGTTCAACATTGACGATGGATCATCCGAATCACTTTTACTCGAGGCATTTGAATCGATTAAGTGTATAGGGGTAGGGGCTAATAAATCGCTCGGTGATCGATTAACCCTCGTAAATACATACATACATACATAGAAGGACTTCCAAAATCGGCGGCGCTTATCGTTGCTCCGATATTAACGCCATCCAGGGAAACTCGCACTCGTTGGAGCGATACATTTCGCAATATATATTCCATTCAATCGCGCGTGAACGTGGAAAAATCGATACCTCGCGTCGTAATCCGCGCCGTCACACGGGAGACAGTATTACGCCGACAATATCTCCGCAGCTTGTACTCTTGTTACATTTTCTACACGCTCCCTCGCGAAGCGAAATAACATCGGGGATTTTATCTCGTAGATTTCCTTCCGAGAGACAGGAGCATCTCCTAGAAAACAAAAAAAAAAAAGTCGACAAATCCCTCCGATAATCTTTGTGCCGACCGCTGCAGACACATACATACACCTGTATAGAATTTTACGCGAAAATGCACGTGTCACGCCGGAGAAAGTTCGCGGTATTACAAGTGCGTGCGCAAAATTTTTTCTAACTGTCATCGTACATTACAGTGCAGCTGGTATAAGGTGAAAAGCGACAAGACTAATGATCGTTGATATGTACGTCGTGTAGTAATAATTAGTATACATTATACCGTAGTAGCATAAATAGAACTATATCGTGACCATAGGTAATTAAAATGTCATTTATATGCATCGAACTCGTGATGATTTATGAGAATTTCGAATTCGTATTACGCGTTACATGTTGCAAGCCATATATAATAGTAAATTATTAATAATTTTAATACAAAAATTTTGCGTTTTTCTCTCTCTCTCTGTTTATAGAAATTATATTTACTCTCTATTCTATTTGCGTGTTCCACACAGACACGAGAGAGCGAATTGTTGTGTTTCGATATAATTAAAGGTGTATATAAATGACATATGGCAAGTATTACAACCAATTGTGGATAGCTTGCATCTTAAACATTTTTCCTTGTTCTCGTTAACAGACGTGCATATACTATTTCATATATGATCGATCGCATTGCGTTTACCGACAGTTATACGACCTGCATAAAGACCCAGGTAGTAGTAATCGAATGAATATGCTATACGAATACGCGTGCGAGAGACACATATACCACACATAAACATTCACGTCCGATACATATGCTTCCGTATCTAAAGATTTACAGCCGTATTATAGTATACTGTACTTAAGCTAATATTACTCTGCGTAATTTGGTGTTAGAATTAGGTGACTGGGACAGTACCTGGCATTTTGAAGAATGTGTAGAGACGCTGATTTCGATACTGGCATATTCAGTAAGCAAAAGAATACAGAAGAAACTATTACGAAAAAAAGAAAGCCGTCTATATACACCTATAAAAGAAAGCAGATGTGAAAATGTATATCGCGGTCAAAGTTTTGCAGTGAAAAAGCTCGTAAAAAGTTCACAGAGAGTTCGGGTTACCATAAAACTTCTAATAAACTAGCGAGAATTATTTTCGAATACTAGAGAACTTTATGCAACAAAGTTTCACTTGTCAGAAAAGTCACAAATCTTAGGCGTTATTTCTTAAAGCGGATAGGATCGAAAAAGTACCGAAACCGGCGTCGCCAGTAAAAAGAGTCAATAATAATGGAAAATGTCAAGATTTTTGAAGCGCTATCCTAATAAGAAAAAACGAGGCAGGGACAGGGGAGGAGAAATATCTCTGAGATCATTTCTTCATCGACATATAAATGATAAGAGACTGGCAACTCTTCCGAAATTATATTATGTCGTCGAGCCTTGCGCATTCGTAACAATAAAAATAAAAAAGACGAACAATCTTTGCTATTGCATCCAAAGTTTCACTTTCGCTCGTTTTACAATTTAATCTAAGTAAGTATATACTGTTTGTGAAAAATTTAAAAATTTTTTAAATTTGCATATAGCATCTTCTAAAAAAAAAAAAAAAAGAATAACTTTACATTTCTCGAAAATTGACGCTAAAGAGAAGATTTCACATTTGCGATAATTGCAATTACATTTTTCGTGATTAGAGACCAATTATAATTAAGCCGCAGCGCGCAATAAGGAAACACTTTGCCGTGCATAAAATATATTATAATTTTTATCTGTTAATTCATTTACAATTCACGGTTCGATTATTATTTCAACGGCGAACATTTTTAACGAGGCAGTAAAACCAAACGCGGGTTCCGCCTTTTACCAGTAAATTGAAGGAAAAGTGTCGCGTCTGTTAATTACGACATGTCGAGGTGTGCGAGAAGTCGAGTTTCAAAATAAAAAAGAGCTGCAGAGCGCGCATGCTCTTTTTAGTCGTAACTTTGTTACATACATATATCGTGACTGCATTCGAGAGAGCTTCACTTTAAATGACCACTTAATAATTTGTCAACTGTATATGTCGGGAAAAAAAAATATTACGACCATACATAATTTCGCTTCTGCATAGTGCCATCTTCAATCATATTATATACGGACAAAACGTTATTTCGCATAATGCACGGATGACGCTATCCTCCGCACCTTCCTATTATGCAGCTTCCTTAATCATTCTCGGCTTTATCAACGACGAGAGAGAATGACAGACTGTTAATTAATGGTTACTGATGATACGCGCGCGTTAACAGGGCGTTGTCGCGTTCGTACAGGTTGTCACGAAATAACTTTAATAAGGGTGGCACCATGTAAGTATAGAGTTCTTTTTTCGCCCGTTTAATTTCACGACCGCTCTTCCTCCCATAAATACGCTGCAAGTTGTAATTAATTAATTAAATAGTTTATACGAATAGTCAACATAGTTCCTGTCGCGTATAGTTCCGCAATTTATTTTTCCGCTCGCTCACCTCACACAAGTCACTCATTAAAATTTGCAATTATTCCGCGCCGACAAATATTTCAATAGAATTCTCATTACGTTTCATTAATATCTAATTCGAGCTTCCATAAATTGCAAACGGTTCGGCTCCGAGAGAAAGCACATAAAACATTGTTGTAAAAAAAGGCGAGAAGGGAG